AAAAAAAAGTCTTTCCAGCACTTGGACTCAAGTTGCGATGGTGATTTTTAGAAAATGTCGGCATCTAGCTGTGAGTGAATGTTCTGTACATATGTGATGAGGGATGAGGCTCAGATGACATGACTGAACATAGCTTCAAAAGCACATTCCTCGCTTTCAATTAAGAATAAATAGCAATCTGTATCAATTATGTATTTATTTCGTACACTCTCTCGACTGCTGTCATCTAAATAATAAGATTATATTATTATTATTATTATTATTATTATTATTATTATTGTACAATAATCCGGATTTTATGAAAACAATACTTCCGCATCATTTAATAATGAGCACACCAATTTGTCGAGCGATTCAGTACTTTGTGCTATTTAATTTTTTGACCATGTAAATATTTATTATAATAAGAGCAAAATATTTTACTGCAAAAAAATGTATGCAAAATCAGAAAAAAAAAAATCATCCCTCTATCCATCCATGATCCCAGCTGTGTTCAGGCAGATGCAAGTTACTTACTAGTAAATTGTCATTAATTTCCCCCAATTGGCTGCACAACACATTTTCCCCTTAATACCAACGCTACTGTAAAATGTATCCTTACAAGTGGTTCAGAGGAGCAAACATTACCTATCTCAGCCTCCAGGGCGGCAAGAGCAACGGAGACGCTCTTTCCCATCTCCCGATCGCTCACCATCAGCCCCGTCATGGATCCTTCATCCTGCAGCTCACACGACAACGCAGGCTGGCCTCCCCTACATTTCACCACACACACCGTCAAAAGGCATGACAGGAAAAATTCCACAGTCCGGTCGTTCTCAATTCTGTCCCCACCAAGTAACATATCTTGTATTGTTCGAAGATGCTGGAGCCAATCCCGGCTGACTTCGGGCAGATGGCAGACTACACCTTGAAATGGTCGCCACTCACTCGCCGGGCACATGTAGAGACAAACGACCATTCACACAAGTCCGGCGAGTGCACCACTACACCCGAGCTTTTTTCATACAATTGCAGACGCTTCCCCTCCCCTTTAAAGGCAAGCCGGACACTTTGTATTCAGAGCTCATCCCGCAGAAGACGGCACTTAGCAACTTCTGTATTTATTTATTTATTTTTTTTACGAGTCATTTATTCGCAGTCGGACAGCACAGTCGCCAGTGTTTGTTTTTAATGCGCACGAGGACTTCACACTGTGACTCGTCAAAAACACTAAATGAAACAATATGTAGATTGGGATAAATAATAGTGCACCCGTCTCCAAAGAGCTGAATATTTTTGTATTTTTGTCCTCTGGTTGTGTGTCAATTCGATGATAAACAGACATAATGTTAAGTGTCGTTAAAGCAAAAAAAAAAAAAAAAAGCATCCACTATTTTCACACCGATGTGTATTTGGACTGAGAAAAGTAAGAGTGCACCCGACTCAAAAGAGCTGCTTGTTTTGTCCTTTGATTGAGAGCTAATTCATTGAGAAACAGACCAGCTCTTGAATGCTTTTAAAGGTGTCTCTCACGATCATTCTTTTCATCTCCTCGTTTAAAAAAAAAAAAAAAAAAATGTTTTGGCTGAGAAAAGTAATAGCATTGCTGTCTTAAAAAAAACTGCTTTTTTGTCCTTCGATGAGCATAAATTTGTTGCCAAACGGTAATGCTCTTAAGTGCTTCTGTCATCATCTGTACTTTCCACTCTTCAAAGAAAACATCCACTTTTTTCATCGCGTGAATTGAGAAAAGTCATAGGACACCTGTGTCAGAGCCGAAACCTTTCGTTCTTCAGATGAGTGCAAATTAGTTGAGAGACAGGCATGCTGTTAAAGGTCTCTGTCATGATCTTTGTTTTCCTCTCGTCGCAGAAAAACATCCGCTATTTCCACGCTGATGTGCATAACAACTGAGAAAAGTAATAGCACACCTGTGTTAAAGGACTGAATGCAAATTCCTCAGGAAACAGAAACGCTATTAAGTGCCATTAAAGGTTTCTGTGGTGATCCATTTTCTCACGTCCTGGCAAAAAAAAAAAAAAAAAAAGCATCCACTATTTTCATACTGATAAGTGCATTAACTGAGCTAAGTAATGACACAGCAGTGTCACAGGAGTGCCACATTTTGTCCTTTGATATAATGCAAATTTGTTGAAAAATAGACTTGCTGTATCAGTGCTGCTCAAGATGACAGTGTCAAACAACATTTTCATGTTGTAGAAAACTTTCAGTATTCTCTTTTTGTTCCCATAAATGTATCTACAGGTCATAGGACGCCCATCTCAAAAGACCTGCATCATTTGCTCTTGTTGTGAAACAGACATTCGATTCAAAATTCCACAACTTCAAAGGAAGAAAATCTGTCGTCATTTCTCGTCACGTATCCCAATACTTTTGCCCATTTATTGGTATTCTCAGGTTGTCTTACCTGTAAGCAGGTACCATCTGTGCCAGGTCCTCCTTGTATTGCTCCAGCACGGCCCTCGCTGACAGGGGCTCGTCTCGCCCCTCCAGGACAGCCAAGTGAATCAACATTTGGGTATGGAACGCCGCCCCGCTAGCCCAGAACCTCAAAGACCTGAACGTCCGAAAGTGTGTAAGTACAACAGCAACCAGTGGTGGGAATTATCAAAGTAAAAATACTTTGTGACTGTACTTAAGTAATTGTATATTCCTGACAACTTTTTATTTTGACCGCCTACATTTGAAAAGAGATTATTTGTACTTTATGCTCGGTCAAAATAGGCTGGTTGTTTTTTCTGAATCTCTGTATATAAAGTAAATAGAGAGGGCTAAAAGTCAAGCGCTCTTGAAAATCTTGGGCTGTGGAAAAAGCCCTTTTCACACTACACTTGGCTTTCCATGTGTTCACCGCAGTGCAAGGACAGCTTATGTGTGTCCATAGGTGGCATAACCACCAGTACGATGGAAAGCCTTGGCTTTGCTTCCAATTAGGAGATGTGAAGCTTGTAGCTTTCCTGTATTTAATTCAAACTAACATTTCTAGAGATCGTTTTAAATCACTTGATCAGCATTTGTCTGCCACGTTGGAGTTTGAGACCGGGAGAATAAGCTAGTCTTGAAATGGTTTTGTTTTAGTTGGTTTGTTTTTTATATCTATCACTAGCTTTCCCGTCTCCCTGTCTCTCACACTGATTCCCTTTTTTAGCCCTCATCTAAGAAAGTTGGAATATTTATAACATTTCTGATATTAACTGAATCTATCTAGCTAGCTAGCTTGCTGGCTAGCTTGGGACTATGGCTGAAAACTAGCATTTATGCTAAGTCCGGCGCATTTACACTGTTGTGTTGATTAATGTGCACTGTCCCAATGAAATAAATAAATTAATTAATGAATTAATTACACAATCTGTACCCAATTCAAACATCTCTCACCATATAACTATGCGAAGACAAGCAGAAATGAGACTGATTGACCTCATGTATAAATTACACAATCGGTACCCATTCAACATCTCTCACCATATAACTATGCAAAGACAAGCAGAAATGAGACTGATTGACCTCATGTAGCTGGATGTTGTTTTTGACAGCTTGGCTCACTGCCCAACATTAACCACAGAGCTACATAGCGGTTACATTAAGTCTAATATTTCTGTTATGTATTTACGTTTAAGGTAATACCACAGCAATTTTATCTGTACTTCTACTTAGGTATAGTGTGTGATACCATCATTTTTTTTTTTTTTTGGTTTGTTTGTTTTTTTTTGTGTACTTCTACTTAAGTATAGTGTGTGATACCGTCATCTTTTTTTTTTGGTTTTTTTTTTTTTTTTTTTTTTTAGTTGACTCACTGTGAGTCGCACTTCCCATCCACCAGAGAGATCTTAAGTTTGGTCAGTGTGAGGCTGAGCTGGGCCTCCATTCTCAGAGAGTCCTGGAGGAGTCGTGTTTTATCAGCCAGGTTGATCCTGCAGCGTTTCAAGTACTCCTCCATGACTTCTTGGAGCTCCCGCACTCTCTGTTGGAGATCACGTTTCATTGTACTTCCATCCAAAGACTTCCAAGATCATACATCATAACAAGGCTTAACCTGGCACGACGATGGACTGGTCGCCGTCTTTCCCGCTCGCGACAAGGACGCGACAAGCAGGTCCATTACCATGGTAACGGCAAGTCCCAGCAGTCCGGCGAGACGGGGTTCGTCCGAGAATGATGATAGTCGTCCAATCAGATCCTTCAGGTAGGTGGGTGCCCTGCTCCCAATCTCCCCTTGCAGCTGGAAGAAAATGTTGATGGTATGAGTAATTAACTTGTACTACAACAGGAAGAAGGTCACAACTGCTCAGGGAGCTGCAGGATTGTTTTTCACAGAGGCTAAAGAGTACATTCCTTCTGTATTTATTTGGGAATGGCAACATCATCTACAGTGAATTTCTGAGGCACAATGGGGTAAATAAAAGATTGCTTTCTAATTTTTAAAAAATCTGCCACTGCCTCCTCGTCTGTGGCATTTTTATTGTATTTTTATCGTTAGCTTTTGAATTTTTTCGGTTTATATTGTAACTTTGGTATTTATAATGCAAAACACTTTGTTACGATTCAAAAGCTTACTCCAAAAAGTTCAATTCAGGTCTGTATTTTAAAATCCGGCACTGCCTCCTCCTCTGTGGCATTTTTATCGTATTTTTATTGTTAGCTTATGAATTTTTTTCGATTTATATTGTAACTTTGGTATTTATTATGCAAAACACTTTGTTACGATTCATAAGCTTACTCCAAAAAGTTCAATTCAGGTCTGTATTTTTGCTTCCTGAAAATCAATAGCGTGTCCACTTCTTAACAAATTTGCACTCAGTCACGTTGAGAATATGCAGTTCCTTTGAGACGGGTGCGCTATTAATTTTCTCTCTCGACGTTTACTGGGAGTACATCAAAAATAAAACAGCAATAATGTCACCAAAATGCCTCAAAGCACTTACTTAACGTCTAACCGCTGCCTGCAGACAGTCAGGGTAATATTTTCATGTTTTGTTTTTTTCCATTGCTGTGATGTAACATGGCATTAACCTGCAGCATTTGCGCCTGGAGGTGGGCCCCAGGTTCTTCGTTGGCCAACAGCAGGGGGTGCACTACACTCAGGTTCGGTACAGCTCCACCCTCCAACATGGTCCGGTACAAAAGGTTACCAATGGCCCATTTCACCCTGGAGAGTTCCTCTTCTGACGACAGCAGCTGGCCCATGTTGACGTATTTAGCGGCTAAGATTCTAAGCTAACACTTCACAAAATAATGCAGCAGTACTTTAACATTTGAGCTTGTGTGTGTGTTGTTGTTTTTTTTTTTGTTTGTTTTTTTTAGCTGGTCTCTTGCTCGCTTCCTGTCCCACTTCCTCTTCCTGCTCCAGTAGAGTTTTCCAAGACAAGACTGGAGTCGAATTTAGCTGAGCTGTAAACGTTGACCTCCCCCTAGCCACGGGGAGCAGAACCTGTCAGCATACTGCAAAATGATGGCCCTTTAAAGACGCTGACCCCCGAAAGCCCGCTGACCCCTTTAAATATCAAACCTTTCTAGAGTAAAGTCGTTATTAAAACACTTTTCTCTCCTGTGCTATCTTTGAGTGGATGCAATTGAAACTAATCCCCTTCATGCTAAAGGAGCAGAAGAAGCCGGAGGCACCAAGGGATTGGAAGTAATAGCTGCAAACTGACAAATAGGCCAAGGGCTTTTTATTTAGCTAAATGGAACAGAGAGGCCTTGGTGGTGGTTTTTCCTCTTTCACTAGATTAAATATGGGACAATAGGGTGTGAGAATTTAGGTGGCGTTGGAGATGTTCTTTGTTATCTGGGACAAGGGCTCGGTGGAGTGATACGCCTCATGACTGCACCTCAGGTTACAGCCAGCAGGGCATTTTTTTTTCAAGCTTATGATTAATTTTTCCAGCACTTGACACCGGCAAGGTTTTCCTTTTCTCAATCCAAATTTCTACTGAAGCACATTTTTTTTTCATTTTTGTGGCGAGATGATCAGGATCCTCTCGCATTAAAAAAAAATGGCAATGGTGTCACAGATTTGACTAAAATCACATACGAAGCAACAATTTCCTCCAAGCGCAACACCAAATTATACATCTGCCACAAGCCAACAAGTACAAATGATTTTTTTTGGGGGGGTGGGGCAAAGACGTTTTCACTTGCAGCACCAAATTATACATCTGCCACAAGCCACCAAGTACAAATGATTTTTTTTTTGGGGGGGTGGGGCAAAGACGTTTTCACTCCTTCTCCATGCCCCCATGCGCACCTTTTGAACAATGCTCCTCCCTCATTCACTTGCGAGTACTGACGTGTCTTGTTGTTTTTGTGTGTGTTCTGCTGCTGACTCACTGCTGACACGCTTCACACTCCTCCAGGAGTGATGAATATTTCTATGTGCCTATGCCTCACACACACACGTACATGCACTGTCATCTCGCACCAAATAGATGCACTCATTCATCCTCTCAGACTCCGCCTCCTTTCTTTGTAAAGGTCTCTTTTGCATTCGACTTTGAAGATGAGAGTAGTGCGTTGCGAGGAAGCTCATGAAAAGATCATAAAGGAGAAAAAGGAAAGCCAGGCGGAGATTGGAAGAAGACGATACAGCAAAAGGAAAATGACAAAGTGGGGGCCAGACGCGTTAATGGCAAATCTTACTCATGAGTTGAGCCAAGTCGGAACATTTGGGGATTGATTAAGAGAAAAGAGAACAAGGTTTTAGCTTCAAAATGACCTCTTAAATTGTCTTGATGGGATTTCTAACTCATATTGGTCCATGCGTGTTTCGTTATTTCTCCACATTGCTTGTAAAAAAAAGATTGAGGGCTTCTTGGTTAAAGAGAAATCCGAATTACACTCAAAGGACATAATTTACAGGTTTTTCATATTTCAAAACAGTTCTCATGCGTCTTCGTCGAAAAACAATTGCAACTAGGCGAGCGGCATGAATTTCATGCATTTTCCCGCATGCAGGCAGCACGTCATACACTACACGTCACGCATTTGTCAATTAGAGTGCAGATCCGTGCATATGGCGCATGCAGCAGAGGCATCGCCAAACACAACCATCGCATTGACTACCTGTCTCAGCCATCAAGTCAGCGCCGCTTATCAGAAGCTAGCATGGATATGCAAGGCTAATCTGTGCATTGAAAGAGGTAAAAAAACTCAACGCACACGATACAGAAGTGACTTGCAATAAAAGTGGCAAGTTTTTCAGAAGAAGTACTTCTGATTTTTTTTTTTTTTTTGCTCTGAATTGCAAGTGAGAAAAATTTTGCTTTTAGCTGAATGCAAAAAAACAATGAAAAACCCCATCGACGGGTTCCCGAATACAAAAAAACTCTTCAGCAGATATTTGAACACATATGCTGGAGCAATACATGTAAACAGACAAGACAACAATACTCACAGACATCGGGTATATTCGATATCCTTTGCGAAAATGACTCAAATGACTGCAGTTTACTTTTGTTAAGTCTTTTGTGAAACTTTCTTTGTGTGAAGGAGCATCACAATGTCCAGTGAATTGAAGCAACATTTTTAGACATTGAAGTTTTCTTTTTTGCCTAAGCTTCCTGTTATACTGTGGGTCACACTGACAGGCTTGAAAGAAAAATTAAAGCAGTATGTTTAGTGGTGCAAAACGTGTAATCAACGATACATACTGATTAGATAATTATAATTATTATAAAACAAAATTTTGTCTCTGACACTTTCGAGTTAAATTGAAAATGGAACATTTTTTGCGGTTCCTGACGAACATACAGAACAGGAGGGTTCATTTCATCAGGTAGTTTGAAATCCTGTCTTAACTTTTGGCTGTAATACCTGTGGAGCAAGGCAAATAGAATCATTTTCCTGTGTGATATCAAGCAATTTGATTTTTTTTAAAAATGGCACTCTTCTCCACCGCGTGTGAAATGACGCAAACTTGGCAGGTTGCATTATAATTTTGCTGCCTTTCAGAGTCACATTAAAAGCCTTCAAACTTGTCATGTGCGCCTGTGAGATGGATGGTGATTATAATGACCCTGAAAGCCTCTCCGCACGTACATTTAAAACAAGATGAATGGCTCTCTTACTGCTCAGCTTTTCTTTGTGACGTTGCCCACGCAACAGCTTTCACCGGGCTGTGATATGCGACGTGCCCGTGCAGAACGCCAATATCAATTCTGCTCTTTTATTTTTTATTTTTTGCTCTTGCCATTTGGCATAATTAGCCCCGCTGCTGTTGAGTGGACACACAAAATGGATGCTGTGTCACATGCGTGTCACTGGCTGACATATTGCTTAGCGCTAAACTTATTTCATCCATGACAAGCTTAACTGAAATGAATGTATAGATTAAAAGTACATTATAATGCAACTCCATCATGTAAAAAAAATAAATATATATCTACTTGGAGCTCGTTTTGGCGAATTCCCATGTACTAGTTCTGGAATTTGCTCTCAATCTGTTATGATAGAGGTCTGCCAAATTTTGTGTGGAGTGGTGAAAGTGGTGTCGGGGGCTGATTATTTATCAATCTTTCCAAACTCACCCAAAGCTTGGCCATATAGTATTGCAGTAGTAGTCCTTCTGGAGTCATCAAAATGAGACGCCTTTTCCCAATTTAATAATATCGTGCTGATAATTTGCAGTCAAAAGTTGATTCATGCCCGCGCCCTCAAAACAACAACATTATTTGAGTCATCCAGAACAGGAAAAACTCCACTGACATTTTCAAAACTCTGTGACCCAAACACTCGTATTGATTTTTCAAGGTTTAATAAAAGGTATGATGTTGTTTTGAGGCACGTCGATACATTTCATTTGGCCAAACAAGGGTGCAATCTGAAGTGGTGACCCAGCAATCTGTCCGCATTGCTCCTGGGTGAGGTAAGGCTGAGCATTGTAATGTAATATCCATCCATTTACTATATGCTTTGTCCCCATTAGGTCTGTTGTTGGGTGAGCTGCTCCTTACCCCAGCTGAGTTTAGGATGATAAATGAAGTTTACCTTGAAGTTGCGAAATACAAGCATGACCATTCACGTGTATAAATAATTTTGAGTCTTCAATAAACCTTATACAGTATGTGTGTTTTTGAAATGTGAGAGGAAACCAAAATATGCTGGAGCTGTAATTTGAAGTCAGATCCTCATAACTGAGTTCAACATGCTCACCACTCCATTCCATTAACATTATAATATAACATACTCTAAAATGGGGGGAAAGCAGGGCGATCTGACCTTCCATTTAGATCCCTTGACATTTTTAACTGTCCCCTGGGTCACTTTAGTCCCGAAGTGAGGCCTCAAGGGGAAATGCCATTTAAAAAGGCCACGGTCCATGAGTGTGCCTGTTAGTGCAGCAGCCCCGCTTAGTCAAGTCACTACACTGAAATGGCTTCAAATTAAGTTGATGCTTGAGTGTGCCTGTGCGTTTTGGAGCGCTCCCACTCCATTAAACCCGTAAAAAAAAATATTTATCTCTGAATAAAACCTATTAGGTGTTTTTTTTCTCGTTGAGACACCACATTGTTAGGTCAAACAATCCAACCCCAAGAAATGAAGCTGTTTTTTTATATGGTACTTTATTTAAACAAGCAATTTACAAACAAATTCTACTCGTACGTCAAGGCGCCACTGTATTAAAACGTCAACATGGATTGGAAGTGGGGAAAGGGTAACTTGGAAGCTTCGTTTATGAATAAAATAATGTAAATAAAATAAAATAATTCTCCTATTACTCTGTTGAAGGCATTTGTACGTGGCCATGGTAAAATAACGTGGGGAAAATCTACCTGTTGACTAAAAGAGACCCCTGCTGGAACAGAAAATGAAATGCATCCTGGTGACGTATATCCGCTTCCGGGATAAACAAACCAACTCACGTTATGGCGGTTCATCTTGGGCAGGCATGAGCTCTTGCCTGCGTTTATCGCCAGATGAAACGTTGCAGTGTGCGCAATGTTCAACAAAAGCAATGATGCGAGTCCAAATCGCTACTTTTGCACGAACGGTTACGGGATGGAGCAGTTTGTCGTCGACGAGGTGACGCGGAAGCTGGCGGCGCACGACGTGAGTGGAGAAAAAAAATACTGTACACTACATTAATAGAAAATTCAAATCAAAAGTTAAAGTACTGTACCAGTTGAACGAACCTAAATATTAATACACGTAGAGGAAGTATGACATCATCATTTTCATCCCGATCGAAAATGCACTCCAGAATCAAAAAACGTGACAAAGGACACATAGGCGTTCATAGCGTTAAAAAAAAAAGTACAGTACTTGGTGTTTTTTGAAAGTTTCAAATAATTAAGACAAAAAAAATACACAAGTTAACAAAAAAAGAAATGTAACCCTAAGGGGAAAAACTAAATTCGATGTACAATCTGGATTGCATTTTCATTTTTTTTAACACATGACAGTATTTTGTTGTTCACAGGGTCACCCCCACATATGTGAGGCGAGGTGAAAAAAATATTATATTTGGAAATTATTATATTACAAGTGAAAAAATGGTTTTCTTAGCAAACTGCTTCATGAGCACTGCACGTATGCTTGTTTTGCAGATTGAGCGGCTGCAAGGTAAAGTGTTGTTCAGCTCCTCTGCACACATCAATTTAGTGAAGGAGCTCAAGTCTGCCGAAAGACTCTTCTTGTTGATGAAGCGAGACTCTCCTCTGCAGCTGTCTGCTCCCGCCAACCCAGGTAGCCACCACCCATTAAAATTGCATTCTAGATAATGCTTGCTTTAATAGTTTTGTATGATACGTTCATAGCCAGAGTCGCCTCTGTGCTGAAGTCCACGCTGATTGGTGACCTGCAACAGTGGACCAGTGCTGAAATGACATGGAGGCGCCTGCAGGGGGTGGTAGCAGACAAGGAGAATGAGAGTGAGGCTGAGGAGCAGAGGACAATGGAAGAAGAGGTTTTTGAGGAGGAAAATGGAAGTGACTTCCAAATCATGAAGAAAAGGAGAAAGATGGACTGTGGAGATGAGTACGTCGACACGGGAGGTGACTTTATTGCGGGGAAACATGGTAATTATAATTTTCTAATCATCCTGTTGTGTTTGTTTTTGGCTTATTGTGCACCAAAAATGTTCATAGGTCAGCCACTGCCGGTT